CGTTTGCAATCTCGAAAGCAAAACACACACTTTATATTACTATCACTACCGCTCACTTGACTAAATTATCTGTCTCTAACTCTGTCTATCTGCAATTATTCTCTGTTTTATTTGCCAGGCTTATATAGTAAAATAGAGGGCACCTAGAAAAGACTAGAGTTGCCAGGAAAAGTCAAGATCCTTCTAGAAACTCCAGCGTGCATGCTTCCAGCGTCATGTGACTTCCGCTGTCCTAACAATATGTACAAAGTGGTTGTCAAGAAAGTATTGCAATTTAGTGCATTGTATCTCACAAATAATATGACATAAGAAGGTACAGTTGCAAGGGGTTTGTAAGGTATCATCCAAATGTAAAATGACACAATATTACATGTTGTCACCATTCTACACGATCTAATGTCTAATCAATCAGCTGTTCAAAATGTGCTTCTCCAGCATCCATAATACATTTTACTCATTTGAAAAAGCTCATCTCATCTAGTATGATGGTCACTTTTCGTACAATTGTATCTTTCAGGTCTGGAATTGTGTGAGGCTTCGCATGGTACACACGTATTCCACCACAACCAGGAACCTGCTAATGTTAATTTTGACAAACAAGATGTCCATTCAGAAGAAAAGTAACATGAACATATTTTGCTTTGAAAGAATACTTGCAAGACGTATTTCATCTGATTACCAATATGTGGTTGGGCACCATCTTGCATGAAAACTATAGTGCCTATTACATTTTGTTGCTGCAGCATGGGAATCACATTGGTTGTGAGCATTGTATGGTAGCATGCAGTATTAACTGTGCAGCTTTTGTAGCCTATGTGCTGATGGTTCTTCAAAAAAGGTAATGTCCAATAACACAGTCAGCTGTGAAATCATGTTAAAACTATCATTAGTATCATGGAGGTGTGTAGGAAATGTTACACGTGGATTAACTTACAACTCTGTAATGCAGTTTGCACATGCTTAAACCTCCATAAAGAGTGAAGTGTACTTCATCAGTTCATTAGTCATTGACTTTCAGTTTTGTCAAGAACTGTAACTTGAAATATATGCATCAGAGTATATCATTCATATTTAAGCATAGCTTGTAAGGAGACATTCACAAAGTTGATCAAAGAGCCTTATAAATAGTTGATTTTGGCAAATCCAGACTCTGGGCAACATAATGTGCACTTGTGCTGACTTATTCTGCTGTGGCATGACTGATCTTAGTGATTGTTTCACTAGGTGCCAATGGTCTGCCTGTATGTGTCATGTCACAGGTGCAACTGTCTTCTAAACTTTTTTTAAGGAACTTGCATACACAAAACTGAAACAGAGTTCTCTGCAATTTTTTTACTGTTCCCTGAGAGTTGCCTTGGCATTCTATGCTTTGGTGTAATAACATTTCACTAGTTTGCCTCTCAGCACACTTGTCAGTTTCAAGTTTGGTTAAATGAGCTGCACTGTAATCATCTGGCTCATCTATCCTCATGGGAAGGAAACCACAGAGCCCCTGGTGGCCATGTGACAACTGGTATTTTTACTGTTCCCTGAGAGTTGCCTTGGCATTCTATGCTTTGGTGTAATAACATTTCACTAGTTTGCCTCTCAGCACACTTGTCAGTTTCAAGTTTGGTTAAATGAGTTGCACTGTAATCATCTGGCTCATCTATCCTCATGGGAAAGAAACCACAGAGCCCCTGGTGGCCATGTGACAACTGGTATTTGGTGTAATAACATTTCACTAGTTTGCCTCTCAGCACACTTGTCAGTTTCAAGTTTGGTTAAATGAGTTGCGCTGTAATCATCTGGCTCATCTATCCTCATAGGAAAGAAACCACAGAGCCCCTGGTGGCCATGTGACAACTGGTATTTGCATCTGCATTATACCCTTAACAACATTGAGCAATTTCACTTCCCTATGCTATACTGTTTGTGAGATGATAGTATTTTGTTATGTGATTTGTAAATTTTAAGATTACCAGTAATATAGTACATTCTGTTATTGTGAACTTTTGCCTCTGCATATTTTAACTCTTTGACTGTCAAAATTGTTTTGACAAACTCAAATTATAACTTGAAAGATTCAATATTTAAGCATAATTGCACTTCAAATGAAATAACATAACATATCACATAACATAATATTTTGGGATAACATGGGACCTATTGTTCCATCCTCAAAACTAAATTAAAATTATTAACAAAATTTTTTTAACCCAGCCCCCTTTTCATTCATATACTTATCAAGCTTTCTCTTAACCTCACTTAAATTTACTGCCTCTACAACATATGAAGGCAACTCATTTCTAAGACCAACCACCCTGTTAGGGTGTTCTGTTCTGTCTTAGCTGAAGATGACTCCGCTCCTTGCCAAAATTTATATTTGTATCCCCTAGTCCTACTATTCTCATTGATAAATATAAAAAAAGATGATACATCAACACTATCAATTCCCTTTACAATCTTACACACCTCAATCAGAACCCCAATAACTCTTCTTTTTTCAAGAGAGAACAATTTGAGAGATTTCAGCCTCTCCTCGTATGACAACCCTCCATCCCAGGCACCATTCTAGTAACCCTTCTCTGAACCCTTTCCAACAATTCAATGTCCTTCCAAAGGTAAGGAGCTGAACACAATATTCCAAATGTGGCCTACCCAGTGACCTGTACAATGAAAGTATAACCTCTTTAGA